AAAAAATTCAAATAAACATACAAATAAATCTGATTAAGACGTCAACAAAAACATTATTGTACTTGAGAGTTCTTTTGACAAAGACGCCAAAACAATTTCTATACGTCATTTCTGGAATCATGTCTTTCATCGAAAAAGATCATCAATTTCGCACGCCTTTATGACGTTATTTACCAGATAGAAGGCGAGCCTGTATCCCTGCTCTATTAAAAGATTCCAGCACTTTCAAAATCGTCATTCTGTAGGGTAGTATAAAAATAGTTTATGTTCCGTAAGTACGTAATCTTGACCCCGTACGAATGAGGGAGGGTGACCATCTTATTAGATTTTAATTTCCCAAATATTTTGTGCAGTATAAATCAAACTTTTTCATCCGTTTGCTCAACATGTGTTGGAAGTGACGATGCCTACAGTTTGGTCACGTGGTGATGGAAGTCACATGACAGATTCAACTAAAAACCGTATCCCGCAACTGCCGTATTGTAGCTGATAGTACATACAGTTTATTAAAATATAATGTTGTACTTGTATATACACTTTCCCGATAAGGTACAATCAAGTAAAATATAAATACATGGATAAACAAACTAATCTCTATTTTTTGTTTGTAAAGAAAACAAAGTCAAGATGATGGAATATAATTGATACAGTGAAACATTTGCTTTTAAAAAAGAGAGACAACCCTCTACTAATGAAAATTTATGGTTCCACATCTTATGCACATATCTTTTGCCGTAGCACAATGCAAGGTTTTTCTATAAATGTATGTGACGTCTTCACCATAAATCCATTTGATGTGTACTGCAGGTTGATACTTTAGACAGGAGGAACATGATTTATTTATTAGTTGTCATTGACTTTGAACTAGCTTACAGCAACTGTGAGTACTCTTAAACAGTTCTTTTATGTTAGTTTTTTTGTGCTTCGTGGCAATATGATGAGTCAATCAATTTCCCAAAACATTTTACAGGTTTTGTTCTTATGTTGTGCTGTTACACCACTTATATGTAAGAGGAGGGTATAGCGCCAACATACATGTCTTACCCCGCCACATTCTATATGTATCAGTCCAAAGTTATGACTCAGTGGCAGTAGTTGTTTTCTGTCTGTCATGTTTGTTTTTCATTAATTATTTTTGTCATAAATCAGGCCGTTGGTTTGAATTGTTTCACATATCGGGGCAAACAATGAAATTAAATCTCATCCTTCTCTTTTAAAATCTTTATCAGAAAATTGAAAAAAATCATACAAGAAAAAGATAAGTAAAAACTAGTGAAAAAAGTACTTTACTCGCAAATTAAACAAACGGTACGGAAATACAAAAGGAACATTTTAGTATTACTTAAAACTTTTAAATGGTAAATTGGTATATTTCCAAAAGACACCAAATGTAACGATTGAACAACACCAGTATACGTACGTATATTACCTTCATCAGTAAGCCCACTAATGGAGGAAGATCGATTGGAGTCACAATCCTAGAATATCACCATAAAAAGCAAAATGTCAAATACAACTTATGTTATTGAATACCTGAACGTTGAATCTTATTACCAATATAAATCTCTATATATGTGATAAAATATAGTATAGGTTTTTACTAATTCATGATATCTATAGGAACATTCCTGCTATATAAGTGGTTTCTATGTATGTTGGCGTTTGTATTTATGCACCTCAGTGTTCCTGTTGTTCCTTAGTTTTCCTCTCATGGCTGATGTGTTTCCCCGGTTTTAGTTTGTAACCCGGATTTGTTTTCTCTCAATCGATTTATGACTTTTGAACACCGGTATACTACTGTTGCCTTTATTTTCGTTTATTCTACATCTTCGCTAGCCAGGGGTTATGATCCAGTCCCCTCCTCTCCACCCTTGGCAGATTAAGCCAACATTTGCGATTATAATGCTGCGCCATCCACCGTTAGATAAAAGTCACGCCCATTCCGACTACACCATTCTTGACCAATGGCAGCACTTGAACTGTCTTCAGTGTGGAGGTGTAAAAATGGTAGTGTCTAGTGTTTATCTACACATTTCGTGAAACAGAAACCGAAAATATACGTTGACATTCCAACATTTGAGCGAGAAATATACCAAAGAACTCCAATAAGTTGATCAAGAACTTAAAAATAGTCACTATTGTGACTTTGATGGATAGTTGTCTCATTGGCCATCATACCACATCTTCTTATTTATACTAAATATCGTCCTATGTTTTAGGGGTAAGGACTTGTTGCACAATTAGCACGTGGCAATTGTTTGATAAACATTTTCTACATTTACATGCATGTAATCATCTTAAAGGCACTTTTTGATTGGATGCAGCCAGTTACGACTGTGCCCAATGGAAAGCATTACCTCTTGGATCCGAAATTCTATCTTAATCCGCCAAGGGTGGAGAGGCGGGGATTATATCGTAACCCTTGGCTAGCGAATGTGATATGTTAGGACATATTATGTTTTATCAAATCAGAATCAACGGTACACTCGCTCATATCTAACAGACAGTGGAAATGTTCATAACTTTTTTGTTCACTGGTTCTATTGTGATATATATTATAAACAAGCGAAATATCCTAAAACCGAACTTAAGTAGTTGCTAACGTATAAGTCTTTTGGTCTCGTCTAATTGGCAATAATACCACTTTTTATATGTTGAATATCTTGTATGACAGGATTTATCATTTATATGGTCATAATTATAAATTCAATGTTTCCAAAACTTGGAATCTTTCTAAATACCTATAAGGATGTTGTATTCTAGGTATAGATTACCTTAGCTGTATTTGGCAAAACATTTCGGAACTTTGGGTCCTTAATGCTCTTGAACTTCGTAATTCATTTAGCCGTTGTAACTTTTTTTTATTCAAGCTTCACTGATGAGACATTTGTAGACGAAACGCCCGTCTGGCGTACGAAATTTAAATCCTGGTATTTATGATGAGTTTATCTTAAGCGTAGACATAAATATCATACAAGTACTATCATATACTAGTAGCTAGATGGCACATGATCATCGAAAAAACCCTTCAACATGTGACCAAAACTTAAATCAGCTATCCCATTTAAAAACACAATTTTACTACGGCAAAACCTTAAAGGGTTCGTATCAAGCTTTCACATCAACACCTTTACCTAGCGTCATATTATCACAATGCAATTGCGTAATTAGATATTTATTGGGATTTCCCTTATAAATTGTCACTTTTAAAAACGTCCTGTTCGAAACTTTTATTTTCGAAGATTAATCAAGATTTGTCAATACTATATTTAAAGATTACTTTGATAATTTCATGAATTTTTATGTCACGAAGTAATTTTAAAATCTACCAGTATCATTTTGACGTCTTATTGCACGTTTTTTTTAACATCTGGCCATGTGATTAAAAAAGGAAACAATACAACATCTGTGTTATATAATATTGCTTACTTAAAATCATGGAACTTAAAAGAGTAACATGTATTTTATTGATGTTGTTCATTTTTCATTACACCAATGCATTTGGACATGCAACACTTTGTAAAGTATCATTTTATAAAGGATCTGTGACATGTGATTGTTCTTCACTTGGATTAAAAATAGTTCCTTCAGATTGTCCGTCAAATACATCATATATAAACTTGTCTGGCAATTACTTGACAGAAATAAAACCATGTGCATTTTGTCGATATCCAGACGTAAAGAAACTTAATTTAGACAATTGTCCAATATTTCGTATAACCAAGACATCTTTCGCGCAATTGGATAGTCTGCGAGTTCTGCTGTTTAGACATAATAGTCTAGAATCATTCACATCGAATGTTTTTGTGTGTCTTTCAAATCTTCGTGTTTTAACGATTAGCCATGGTCTTTTAGCATCTTACCCAGAGGAATCCTGGTCAGATCTTTCAAATGTATCTCATCTATATACCTACAATGGTCCAAAAGGTGAACGATTCGGAAAATTCTTATCCGCAATGAGAAGTCTCATATATTATAACCATGGAATAGGAGGGTGTGATCTACAAGTATTACATGATAACACATTTGATACTTTGCGAAACATCTCTTTGAAAGCGCTGGTGTTAGGTTGTAATGCACGATACGTGGAAGTGAATGCATTTGAACCAGTTGAATATTTATCAAACCTCAGTTTGGCAAATCAGCTGTACATGAAAATGTCCAATGTTCTCCCAGCACTTCACGTATTTAAGGATAAAAGTATGGATACACTTGATTTGTCGGAGACATTCAGGTATTTCGGAGAATTTGTCTTAACTGCTAACTTATCCTCGTATATTGGGGACATATGCATTAAATCATTGTTAATGAGAGGAAATAATTTCATGAAAATCGAAGGTGCAGCAATAGAAAATGTGAAAAATAAAAGCTGTTTGCAGGAAATTGATTTAAGTCTTAACCGTTTTAATTTCATTAGTGTTTACTCATTGCTAAATACTATGGCATTTCGAAACCTAAAAAGAGCTAATTTAGCCTATTTTAATTTATGCTCCCCTTTTCAAATCCTTATCAGAAAATATATGTATCAAAACATAACAATACCATTGCCGCCTTCAATAGAGTTCCTCAACGCGTCTAATATTAAAATGTTAGATGTACGAACCCCACAAATAGTTCATCTTCTTCACACAGAAAACTTAGAAGTTATTGATTTAGCCGATACAACCTTTGACGACTGTAATTTTACGATATATGGTCTGGACCATTTAAAGATTTTGAACATGTCCGGACAGAGATGTTCGATTCTAAATTATAATCTTCTCGGTTCCTGTTCTCGTCTTGAAATTTTAGTTATCAAACATTCTGAACTTGGACAAGGCTTGGTTGGTGATACTAGAGGAATTTTTATGCACAGTCTCCAGTCTTTAAAGTATTTGGACTTGTCAGGAAACGATATGCACAAGCCGTTCATTCCAGGAATGTTTGTTCATCAGTCTATGACGTTAACATCATTGCATTTAAATGATAACAGTTTTAAAAATATACCTGTCAGTATAAATATGTTAAGAAGTTTACGTACACTCAGTCTAAAAAATAACAACATAAACTGGCTCTCTCAATACGAAACAGAGAATTTAGAAAAGCTTAATACAAGGATTTCACCCCAAAATCTCAAACTGACACTTAAAGGAAATCCTATCGTGTGCAACTGCGAATCTTTACATTTCATTCAATGGATATATACAACGAAAGTGAATGTTGATTTGAAAGGCAACTATAGTTGCTTATACACAGATGGAAGTTTCCGAACCACTTTTGAAATTTTTAAGAATATGAACCAGTTGAGGACGCAATGTATATCTAAGTTATGGCTTATTTTAAGTGTGACACTGTCTGTTGTTTTAATCTTTACATTTATTATTAGCAGTTTATTGTATAAATATCGCATTTCCTTACAATACTGTTGCTTAATAGCTGGCGGATTGTACCGTCATTACCGGAAGGTTAACAATTTCGAAGAAGAATATTTCTATGATGCATTTGTGGCACATAGCCAAGAAGACTATGTATGGGTTTATGGACCACTTCGTACATTTTTAGAAACAGAAAAAAAATTTAAACTTGCTTTACATGACCGAGATTTCATTCCTGGTAAATTCATCGCAGACAACATAATAGATATAATAAAGGTCAGCAGGAAAATCGTTTTCGTTGTATCGAAATCTTTCTTAGACAGTGAATGGTGTCAATATGAACTTGATATGGCGAGAATGCACATGTTCCAACAAAACAGAGAAATGCTTATCGTTATTTTATTGGATGATATACCAAATGGTAAAATACCAAGCCGTTTAAAGCAGATATGGGAGAAAATAACATGTCTTGAAACTGATGACAAGGCCCGAAATGAACAAATACCGGACGGAGATGATATCTTTTGGAAGAGATTGTATTTAGCTATTAAACCTTGATGTACAAAACAGTATGTTTGATTTATCTCTGAATAAACTGGAACAATGCTTGTTAAACCCATTCTTAACGAAACCCTGCAGAAACAGTTAAAACGATACCATACTCCATTGGTTGACTGTAGTTTAGAAATAAGCCTGACTTCTCCAATCCGACATGCAAACTCAAGAGGACATCCGTTTGCATATGCTGGGTGTAAAATAACCCAGCGACATACGTTTGGTAGAAATTGGATTGTTAAATCCGTTTTATTGTGGGGGGAGGGGTATCAGGCATGATAAATGCACGTATCGTAATGTCTGCTTCTTGTTAAGTGTTGTCTACGAAGAAAACTTAGAAAGCTTGTAACTACGAGGGACAAATAAATACGGCCGTTTTCGATATCTGCTCTCTCTCTCTCTCTCTCTCTCTCTCTCTCTCTCTCTCTCTCTCTCTCTCTGCATTCGTAGCGTGAATAAATAATACACTTTCGGGTACATGCTTAGAATATTGATCCAACGGTAATGTTTTGAACAATTATACATGACAAAGTTGCGCCATATTTTACGTTAACTTTACGATTCAGCTTATAACTTAAAATTAAACGTACTTTAATTGCTTATCAAAATATACGTGAAACTATGAAAAACGACAGAATAAATTATACAAACACTTGGAATTCAAAAGTACAATATGTTTCATTACTTTGGAATCATCAGTGCACACATTTACAACAGCATGTACACGAGAACCAAAGCAGCATCTTTTCAAGGGCTTTCCTGTTCCAAAGTATTTTTTCTCTCTTATATTACATACCCTCATTTTGTTTTGGCAGTATGAATAACCCGTTCTCCATCCCGGTCGATCAAACTTTTGCTGCGCCTTTCTATAAAATGTTTTGTTAATTTATTTTGTCCTGGATATACATAAAATATTTTCAAATCGACGTTAAGAAAACAGCATTAATTCAATATCAATGCGCGGTGTATAATTCAATACGCGCGGGGTTTTTTTTCAAACAACTTATCAGTGGCACGCCTGAAATACTATAGATATATAAAATTGACAGTATATCATACGACAGAGTATGCTTCATACATATAAAGATTTTTTGCTATATCATTTCGACGATAATATAAGAATACGCATCCGGTGTATGGGGTCGCAAACGATACAATTCATTGGAGGGCTTTAATACCAAGCAATACATGTAAGAAATTTTCGTATCCTAATTTTCTGTTTTTGTGTAGATTGACCTGAGGCTATCGGACTCTCGCTTGTTCCACAAAATATTTCGCTAGGGCCAAGAGATTTCTAACGTAACCGATACTGTAATATCTGGTTCAATAACACTTCTTTCATCTTTTGGACTAGAATATATATCAAAACCCGACATCACGTTCAGTTTTTTTTCAATTCTTTATGTCTGGAACATCGTTTAAGAGCAATTCTCTGTAACCACCAACCATTTCATATAGGGGGTCGGTACGCAATAGTCACCGATTTTCCTGAAACTTAGTCTGGCAATATAATTAGGTGAGAAAAAGCCTCTCAAAGTGTTGCTAGGCCACGATTGCCAGGACAACCAAGTCAATAAGTTTTTCGTACATTTTGGGGGTTTTAGCATTATGAAACAAAACCAGATTTAATTAAATGATATCAATATTTTTCAGAAACATGATACTTAACAATCGTACCAGCAACGTCATATATAAATAATATTTTGATTGAATATTTTCCCAACCGCAGGAGCAGAGGTCATTTTTCATTGCATCTGTAAAGGCGAATTATACACATTTAACATGAACAAAATATACAGTTTTGCATCCATCTCCATTTAAGTTGTGGTAATAAATATAAAGTATCAATGTTTCTAGTCAATAATTTACAACAAAATATGTCATTTTTGTTTTTTCCTTCAGAAATTCGACAATGTCATTAAGATTACCCGAAAACTGTTATAACAATTAAATGACTGTGATGTGAAAACTATTGAGCATAAAATGACATTCAATTTAACCCAAGGTCAAAGATCATTCATGATCTTCAAAGAAAATTCAATTTGATGATCTTGACCTTTGACCTTGCGTATATTAATTGAATTTTGTAAAAAAATCATAATAGAAAGAAGCAAACAATACATGAGCAAAATGTTCAGGATGATTAAAGCCACTATTTTGTTTACTGGTCAATAGTAAGAAGGCAAGGTCTTGTCAAAAGTGCTTAGCAAACACCGTTATTTGATACAAAAGTACCTAGTAACCATATATGTTTTGATTCATGATTCAGGACTGTATGGATTATTGCATAGACCAGGGTCATGGGTGAATGTTATCACACTTGTCCTCAGCAACTATTCATTTATAGTGCAAAAGTGCATAGCAACCATTTATGTATATTGAAAGTTGCCATCTAACCATTTATTTATATCAGAAAAGTGCCTAGCAACAATATATTTTCGGTTTCATTTCGACAAAAATCAGAAAAAAAATTGATATCAAAGATGCAGTTTTCTTTAAATTTGTAATCCCTTATAAGAACAAACATTGTATGTACCCAATTGTTGAATTACACAGACTTGATTGTACACATGCATAATCCATAATATTTTATTATATGGAAATTTTGATTTCAAGGTATAAAAAAATAAGGGTTTGATTACAAATCCAAATACAAAAATGGTATGAATTCCAATGAGACAACTCTCCACAAGAGACCAAATGTTATATTTAAGACAGGTCCTCTGAACCTACAAAATCAAGGCGAAAAGAACAAAATAGCTTAGAGAACGACCAATTTATTTCTTTAGTAAGACTTGGGCTTTTGAGCAAGAGGTTTTGTGTGGATAGAATGATCATTTCACCCGTTGTAAGGCTGAACGACTTATTTCATTTTTTCGTCGAAAAAAAACATTTTTCGTTGTGTAACCTATTTCTTTTTTCAAATCGTTTGTGCACCTGAATGTACAGAAAATTCATTTTCAGCATGTCTCGGGCAGTGATATTCAGTTCTAGACACCATCACATTCATTTCATTCAACATCCCCATCACAAAATATAGAATGGTCCTTCCCTAGCTAATACAACTTCTCTCTCCCTCGGGGGGGGGGGGGGGGGGGGGGGGGGGGCTAGGATGAAATTTGAAAAAAAAAGGCAGGACAGAAGTTTTGAGTAAAAAAAAAAGGCAGGATGAGCAACTTGACAAATTATGTATAAAAAGTCAGGATAAACTAATAAAAAAAAAAGGCAGGACCGAATAAAATGAAAAATAAAAAGGCAGGACCGAGATTACAACTAAAAAAAATGCAGGACACAATTTTTCATCCTAGCCCCCCCCCCCCATAAAAATCAAATGATAATTCCCTTAAGTCTTTAAATATATAAATAAATCGGCTGTTGTCTGCTCTATGGTCGGGTTGTTGTCTCTTTGACACATTCCCCATTTCCATTCTCAATTTTATAAGATTAAAAAAAAGGAAAAAAGGGATATGTTTCGGAGTTTAGTGTGACGTCTATTTTCACTGAACTATACATTTTTGGTTAACTGAAACCCGCCTCCGGGTGCGGGATTTTCTCGCTGTTTTGAAGACCCATTTAGTGGCTTTGGGCTGTTTCCTGCTCTTTGGTCGGGTTGTTGTCTCTTTGACACATTCCCCATTTCCATTCTCAATTTTCGATTAAATTGATTTGCGTAATGTAATAGTATCCTCGCGTAAAAATAATCACTTCATGATTTGTATATAATGAAGTAGAAACAGTTTCTGTTGTATAGATCGAATTGGAATCAATAACAGTTTATCGTTTATTAATTTACATTTGACGGGAGTACTGTGCTTTAACTGAATAATACGTACAGACCAAAGAGATTTATATATGTATATATATATATATAAACGTGCATTGCCTCAAGGATATCCAAAAATCCTTGATCGCCTCAATTGAAATATTGAACAACTTCTGTTCATACCCCTTATAAAATTACAAGGAGATGTGGTATGATAGCCAATGAGACAACAATTTTATATCTACGTTCAAATGAAGTTGATGTAAGCAATATTAGATAACCGTACGGCCTCCAACCATGAGAAAAAACCATACCGTTTAGTCGGCTATAAAAATACCCGACATGAAACAATGAGAAAACCAACAGCTATATTCATTCATGTATACAATTATTTCCAGCACTGTCCTTTATTTTCATTAGACAGCTACTTCATTTTCAACCATTCTTGTTATTATCAGGACAAAATATTCATTTCTTTAATCATCCTATCCCCTTTTTATGAATACTCTATGGTCGCCTCATAAGTGTAAAGAAATATTTGATGATTGGCTTACCACTTATTCACGAAGAAATCATAATTGAATTAAATCATTTCACCATTTGTTATCATCTAAAACCCAAAACAAAATTCGTTTATTTCATAAATGACTGTCACACAAAGCTGGAGCTATATTAGACAAGGAACAATTCCGTAAAACTTCGACTTATGATTTTTTAATGTCCCCTTGTCCCCTTGGTTTCTTCCGCCTCTTGTTTAAAAGTGATTGTTCTGTTCTAATTTCATAATTATTTACTTTTATGGTCCAGATGAGTTTTTTAAATCTTGAAAATAAACAATTATAAAATCCCGTATATATATGGTAGCTGAATTTTATATTCCGTATTTTTCTAATTGTTATACGAACTATGATTTTTTTTGGGGGGCCAGAATTTTTTGTCTATCAATAATGAAGTTATCCATTAGATCTCTATCGTGAATTCGTATGTAATAGTCTTATCACAACAGCCAGTCATTTGCTCTTAGCAGTACCATTCACAAAAAAACAAATGGAATACTCTTTACCAAGATAATCTCCATTCATGTTTAAATCATGCTGTTTAGAATTAAGGCTTATGTACCCTTGTGTTGCTTCAATGCTAAACATATAGAAAATCCACAGCCTTTCCCCTTGTACTCTCATATTTGGCAATTCGGTACTTGATAGATAGAGGATTATTGCATGCAGTGCTAGCAATGATT